CCATGATCTTCCCAGGCACGGAGGTGAAGAAACTAGTGTAAGTGAAGCTTGGCTTGCTTTTCACTAAGTAGGTTACCTTTCACAATTTTTCTATCAAGCATCACATTTGGGGTCTTTCTCAGTAAATGACTTTTATTTTCATAACTTAAGCTTACCAGCCAGGAGCCTCTTGTCATAAGGCTCATGAGTGCCGGAGATCTGCTTACTGCTACAGCTGACAGCGCTGTCAAGCCAATGCTTCCCGCAAAGTACATGTAGGTAGAATGAATTCTGTCTTTCACGTACTGTGGCCAAATACTGAAAAATAAGCAGTTACACATAGCCATGTGGTTACCAGTATCAGAATGAAGACTAAAAAACTGACAGTCAAGCTGTTAAATATATTCATAGCTATAGATATAAGGGAGGCTTCATAATAATGGTGTGGTCTAGAAACTTCTGCCATGAGTTTTCTTGCTACTCTAATGTAATGTAACGTAACTCTCTGGAAACACTATAAATCACAAATAATGCTAATTATAGTTCAATTTTAAGTAAGAAGAATAATGAATGCTTTTTAACTATGGAAAAACAGAGAATGGGGTATATATAAAAAAACAGATTTAAGGAAAAATGTATACAGAATGTGTACGGGGCACTAAGTAGCCTGCTGAGCAGCTCCCAAATTGCTGAGTCACAGTGCACATGATTATCTTACATCACAAGACACAAACGTCATTTCGAGAGCTCTAACAACAGCAATGGACCTAGGCACGAATGAGAGTGTTCACAGTGTGATTTAGTCACACCATGGACAGGAAGCTTTCCACCCAAATGTAAACATAGTGCGTGCACTCTCCCATTTTACTCTTTTGACCCATTACTTCAAGGTTCATGGAGAAAAAAAGCTGTATCAATGAAAAGCTTCTCATAGATACAACTACAAGCACTCAATATGATGCGGATGGTCACTTCCAAACATAAAGTAAAGCAAAACGTCTCCAGCACTCTCTTCTCCCAAGCCCATGCTTATCACTAACCACCTTTTAAGTCTAAGCAACTATACAGTTTTGCCATCAGTCAGGTTTTTGTTGGCCAAAATGCAATACACCAAAGTTTTAAGCAAAATGTCCATGAGAGTAGGGCTTATGGCAAGATAAGTAGTGTGTTCAGAGACACTGTTTCCAACATGCTGTATTAAAATTTAATGAACAGTTTCACAAGATCACCAGACAAAGCAGTCCAACAACGTGTTTTACAAAACACCACTCTTCATAAATTATCTGTAGCACATCTCATAAGACATTTATATATTCTTCACAAAAAAAATTTGAAATTTAGCAAAACAAAGGAACTAACTTAAGTCAAAATCCATTTAAGCTTGGGTAATTTAAATTTTGCTTTCAGTTACATGCTTTAAAATCCCACAGAGACAGAGACAAGGGCTTTCTCTTCAGAGCTTAAAAAAATGTAAGCTAAGTGTACACTGCATGATACCAGCTAAAGAAGAGATGGATATAAAGAGGAGGAAGATCCACTGAACGTACTCTTCACTTAAAACAACAAGCCATCTTACTTACACAGCTCTTTCAATAGCTCCAATCTCACTGGACATGCCCATTCCATAGTAACAGAGGGCCCCCAAGCCAACAGCAGCCCCTCCAGCAACAATAAATTTCCCTAGGCGATCAGCTGTATAAAGAAAAAAAAAAATCCACACTCTCATGAATGCTTTTTCTTGGATAGTTAATAACATCCTCACATGAGTTTTGTTGTATCTGCAATAGCTGATTCATGTTAGTCTTCTTTCTTAAAGCTTCACTTAACTTCAAGTCACTGCATGGCCTGTTCTCAATGAGCTACATGTGAAAAACTGTAGATTCAGAGTACTGCAAAAATCAATAATAAAATATTGTTATAACTGAAGACCTGCTAAGATCAAATACCCTCAGTTGTATAACTCTAAGACTACGCTTTTTCCTAACGCATTATAGCCAAGACATTATCTAGCCAATCTACATACGTTCCATTTGTGAATTCAATGCTATTATAGGATATTTACAAGTCTGTTCTGCTCAACACTACTATCAAAAAACCACTTTGTAATCCACTGAAATTATGATCCACACTAGATGTACTAGCAAGCATAGCAGGCCGATGCCTTACATAACTGTAGTACCAGAAACTTTTTTTTTTTGCAAATTGTACACGCCATAGAAAAATCCTTCCTTTAAACAGTATACAAAGTAGATGCAACAAAGCAATTGTTAGCGCATTTTTAAACATCTGCAACCAAGTATCCACCAAGAAGCAACTATTTCTTATTTAATAGTTCTCAAGAGCAGCTTAGAGACAACAAGAATTTTCTCTATATTGTGACATACTTGCGTCTTTAAACTCTACAAGGTTAAGACAAGCAGATAAACTGTCTCCAGTTGTCTTAGGGAAATCACTAAGCAAGCTTACACATGAAACAATATTCTCAGCCTCTTTAATGGCGTGAAGGAAACTGACTTCTTTAAGGAAGTTTTAAGTTAAGCTTCAAAGACTCTCAGTATTTAAAGCAGAGCTACTCTACCTTTAAGTGCTGTTTCTGCAGATGGCTCAAATGCAGCTTCTTTAATTTCCTGGCCAATTTTTCCACGCCTTACACCGGTTCTTACTCTTGTGGCATAGCACTGTTAGATTCAGAAATAGCATAAAAAAGATACAATTAAATAAAATATAAGACGTTGCTTATCTATTTATTTGCTACACTTAAAATTGCTACACAGTGTCTTATTTATCTATGCTTTCCTCCCAAAAACATGAAGCAACTGTGTTCAAGGAAAACTGAGTGTTAGAGCCTAGGAAGCTTTGGGAATAACATTTACACATTCTAGAAGCACAGAACCAATGCAGTGAACTTCCGAAGCTGAAGTTTTCAGCTTGTATTTCTTTTGCTCTAGTCTCACTGTACTAAAAAGGCCATAAGGCTTTTTTTAATGTAAAAACATACTCTTATTTTTTTTATTTTGTTAAAAAAAATAAATTATTTTGATATGTAAAAACTTTCTCTCTGTAAAACACTTTTAACCTAAAAAAAATATTATTGCACAATACTTAGACTTTACAGACTCTAAATTTGGAAAAGCAGCATGGATTCTTTACTTTCAACTCCAGCCTTGATTTAGAGACAAAACCTTGAATTAAGGCCTATAAACTTAAGACTTTTAAGGCTTACAATCTCCAGATAAATAGGGCATGCTGTTCAAAGTCTTAGTAAACTGCAAAAGCAACACAGAATAAACTTGAATCTAAGTTCAGACACAATTTTTGAAGTTTCCTTACCCTTTTTTCCTGGAATTTCTAAAATGTTATACAGGCACCTAAGCAACCCAGGGCTCACTCAAACCTGTGAGCTTGTTTTAGCACTAAAACCTGAAATCTGCAAGTATTGTTATCATAAATAAAATGAAATTCAGGAAGTTAACCGTAGCACTTCAGTTTTGTTGTGCCCAACACAGTAATCAAGTAGCACTCACCACAGAAACAAAACCACCACAAAAAAAACCCCAAGCCAAGAAAACACACACAAAAAGCCCCAACACACCTACAAACCTAGGATGCTTAGAACAGTGTTCTATACTTAAGAGGAAAACACAAAGGAGGTGAAGAATTTGCCACTGGCACTTTCACCAAGGTAATGACAAAAAAGCAATGCCTCCTAACAGTTGTGAATTACCTGGGCAGAAAGCAAAAATGAAAGATCGTCTCTCAATGAAAAATAAACAGGCAGTGTCTCAGGATAATGACAGTTAAGTTTTTAATTTAAAATTGCTTGTTAGACCCATAATAGTACTGCCATAGTTCAGAAATTTCTCTAACCTGGGCTACAGCTCTAAACACATATTGGGACTACAGTCTTTGAAAAGTTTTTACTTTAATAAGTTTCCCCTCAGAAATAGGGAGCTAGGAGAAAGTCAGGCAAGAATTTCTGTTCCTCCAACCTTACATAGTAATGCTTGTCCATCACTATGTCCTTTAAGTTCACTTTTTCAGTAATTTCAATGGGGAAATAGTAATTGAAACAGAAGATGTTATTTCGATTGCTCTTAAAACCCCTCTTTTTTGATTGAGTAACACTCTTCAGTAAATTAGAGCAGGTACCTCAGACAAGCACAAGGCTTGTGACCATTCAAAACAGGTAGGCCAGGCAAAACGATGCTTTTGGAAAAACATTTCAGTAGTCAGAACCATTAGAAAGAGAATTACCTTACCTGGTTAGGTTGCCACAGCTTGTATGCCTTTATATTGGAGTTCCTCAAAGCTGGGGAAGCCTGAGTAATGGTGGGACGGACAGTCTGGCATGATAACGCCCTCAGGCATACCAGCCTTGCAGCCAGCATGGTTGCTTACAGAGTTTAATACACTGTGTTCCTGCAAGTGCACAAGAAAATATACTTTAGTATTGTGTTACGTGGTTTTCAGACAACAAGGTTCACTTACTACTTATTCTCAACCACACTATAGCCTGTAACAGAAATAGTATTATCACTAGAGTACTACAGTAAGAGCTAGAACCTTCTTAAATATGCAGTTTATCTATGTTTGTCTCCCATTTCCAGCAGAGACTTATCCCTCACAACTTACTGAAAACAGGAGGATGTACCACTCTTCATATGTGTGAAGATCCTTTAGGTACTTATGTTTGAGTTACTTTGGCAACTAACTTTCATTTTGAGACATAACACTGCATGAGTGTTCTGCCCTCTAAACAGATGTTCAAAGAGATACTCCAAAGAGTATGAAGTTACATGAACTTCAGCTAGGTATAAACCCAAATGAGTAAACAGCATAACATACGTGCTGGAAAAAGTTTTAGAGAGGTTTTAAGCTGTCCTTTGAAGAATTAATTAGCTTTACGGACACAGCATTCAGTCAAGGTCACAGCCCAGAACACAAGTTCAGGTCATCTTGTGCAATTTTGGCCAGAAAATGATGCCACTCACAGGTAAATTGACAGCAAAAACAGACATCAGCCTGTGTATGCTATAGGTCATATTAAAGCTGCTAGTTTACTTCCATGAATAGTGCAGACGCTACACATAAAAAACCCCCAAGTCCTCGTAGTTACACATACTTTAATTATGCCTGTATACCACCTCAGATATCCCAAGACACCCAACTGATAATACACTTTTTCAAACAACTGCTCATAGCTCACGTTTATAATATAATAATTTAAGAACACTCTAAATAAAGGTATTTTATTTAGTGAAATGAGTACCCACAGCATTGGACAGCTATCACTAACCACAAAGAAGTAAAAGTGAGAAAAATCTTGCTGCTAAGAAAAGCCTCTTTACTTTGAAGCTCAATTATGAAATCCCGCTTTTACAAGAAGCAGCACTTTCAGAGAGACAGCCTGCTTCTACCACTAAACCCCACTCTTCCACTGGGATGATACAGTTTGCAGCAACTTACAGTGGCAACTCTGTGATTTTGATTTTTATTTTTTTGAAAACTGGTATTTGAAGCAAGACCAGTTCGAGCATTAGATCAAGAACAACGACTGTAGTGTTGAAAAAGAAAACAAAACACCATCAATATTCCAGCATATGAACTGGCAAATACAAGGAAACACCGCGAGGTCACTGCTGCACGCAAGCATGAGGAAACCCATCCCAGTCCAAGCCAGGGCGGCGAGAAGCACCCACAGGGGT